TTCTCATACTAGGTCTTTGAAATCTGGCACGTTTCTTCAGGACATCTCAATTTGGACGAACTACATTGCGACCGGTGGCTACTGTACTGGACCACACAGACTTAAAATAACACCCCACCTCCAGCCACTCTCTATCACATTACTCTGATTTATCATTATTGGAAGATTTATTTGTGTTTGAAATCATCCTATTTGTTTATTTACTTGTATATTATCTCTCCCTCCATCCCTTATGAACCCCCTGCCCTGAAATGAAAAGTCTAAAGGACCAGGGGCTTCTTTTTATTCTTTGCTGTATCCACAGAGCTTAGTATATTGCCAGTTTTCAGTAAATATTTGTTGGAAGTTTGATGAATAAGAAACTGATGTGCTGTTAAAACAATGAGTCCATGTGGCTTTTGCTTTTTGAGTCTTCCCTCCCTCGTGCTAGGTTTCAGGTCAGTGGAAGAAATAATGACCACACTTTGCTGTCCCTTTTCCCCTTCCCCATCCATGTCCTCCTGTAACTCTCCTGTGTTGTCTGTATCCTACCAATTTTCTGATACATGACTGTTTTCTTAAGAGAAAGCACTTTCCAGTCCACTGTTAAAGCTGCTCTCAAGTTAGCATTCAACTCGTACTAAGCAGGAGAAAAAAAAAAAAAAAGCAAACATCTGGACTTTCTCTTCTTTCCCCTACTAACGATTATAAGATTTTTTCAGAAGGTAGTCAGGCTGTAACTTGTATTTATTATACTTTCAGTCAATGGGAGGAAACCCTGGATCTGTGATTAGCTGTAGGCCTTGTGGAAACTGCCCTGAGGCCCGGAGGTCTGGAGGTTTCCTTCCACTGCTCCTCTAGATGTGACCCAGTCTTGCCTGTGTGACAGTGGTCAAGGGCTCCAGATTTGCCTGTGCTCATTTCCTCCATCTGTCAAAGGAAAGTCACAATCGTTGCTTATTTCCAGTATAAGACTATAGAGAAAAATCAATTAAAATTTTTTCTTAAAAAAAAGGCTATAGAGAAAATAACCAGAAAGTATATTATGCCCAGTAATGAAAAGCATTGTTGCTGTTCATACAAAGCAATAGGTACTGACCTGGTACCTAGGATTCTGTTCTAAACGCAGGTATCACAATAAAAATGGTTAGAGTCTTAGAGACTGGGTCAGTATGTGAGGTAAATGGTAAAATGCAAGTGGGGTTTGAAAAGAATTCTTACCCTTTCTACAGTTAGAGAAGTTTGTGGAAAGAGAAAAGTTTCTGCAAGCTTGTTTTGGCATTTAATTACCTTGGCATAAAACTACTCCTGGGTGAAACATAATGAAGAGAAAGTTGACCCAATTCAACCCATCCTCTACATACCATTTTCTCTCTCTCTCCCCTGGCTTATTGAAATTGTGCTCCAGAATAAACTTGGCTATGGTTTATTCACAAAACCTAAATAAGGGTTGTCACATTTAAGAATGTTGAGCTCTCAATTCAGAATTCACTCATTCATTTAAAAAAATATGTACCGTGCACCTACTATGTATAAAAAGAGTTGAAATGCAAACATAAATAAGACCCTCAGGGGGCTTCCATTTCAGCAGATAATACATTCATTAAACAGCAATTTCTGTGATTAATTATTCAATTACAATCATAATGAGTACCTTGAGGTGGTGTGAAAAGATTTAATGGAGTCCTGATTTAGTCTTCCCCCCAAAGTGTCTGGTCAGATAAATCCCGAGAGGAGGGTTTAGTGGGCGAAGGGGGTTAGGGAGATTTTCAGGCGGAGGGAGCAGCAGGTGTCAATGTACTGAGATAGGAGGAACCTGGCAGAGGCACCAGAATAAGCAATGGCTAGCTTATAAATAAGCAATGCTCCCCCAAAGGGCTCCCCGATGGGAGCGAGCTAAGAGAGGAACAAGGGGCTAAGACAGCAACAAGGCCCAGAGCCCAGAGTCTCTTCTGTTCTCCCCAACAGGGCCAACTATAACCGATTGCTTGATCCTCTCTATTCATTGACTTAGCTTTTTAGCACCTACTTCTTATGTTAAGCCCTCAAAGGTTGTGGCTTTCCCATGCGCCATGAGCAGATGTACAAATCCCTCTATACTCTTGTCTGGAGGATTCCTGTGCTGAGTCATCTGCTGCAGTAGCAGACGAGAAGCACCAGGGGACAGAAAGCCTTCTCCTCTGTTTGCTTTGGTAGAACACAACATGATGAAAATGTACACTAATTCGATCTAAAATGTTGAATGAAGAATTAGCAAGTGTGGCTACTACCAGGTTCTGAGCTCACTACCTCTCTAATCTTGGCCGAGCATCACAAAAACAAACAAGCAAAATTTTTAGTGAGTTTACTGAGTATGATTTAATGTGCTCAGAATTAAGCCAGGAAGCTTAACTAACATGTCTTAATGAAGCTGTGGCAGACACACGATGATGGTGGAAAAACAAACAATCAAGGGCCATTTGAGGGGACTTCTCAAAACCTGGTACCAGGAAGCAAAAAAGTTCAGTTTTCAGCTCTCTTTCAAGACTGCTTCTACATCGGAATTAGGGTTGGCAGGAGACCTTAAGAGAGATGTAGAAGGTTTTAAATGTGCAATCAGTTGGGCCAATGCAATTCGAGAGTTGCTATGCTGTTAATAGGAAGACAGTGCACCTTCCACTGGATGGAAGTTATATTCAGTCTCACCAGGTTTATGCTAAACTTCTGGCAGCTATGTTTCCAACACATGATACCTATGGGGAAAACAGAAAAATAGACAAGGGTACTCATCACTACAAATAGGTCATGGACTGGGTAGCATTAGCCTCACATTGATCTCGTCTTCCTGATTGCTGCAGATGGAAGTCTCATGCCAGCCACGCGTCAAACCAAATAATTAGCAGATGTCACCAATGGTAATCTCCTGATGTTTAAAAATGGAACAAGTGGGGCTTCCCTGGTGGCGCAGTGGTTGAGAGTCCGCCTGCCGATGCAGGGGACACGGGTTCACGCCCCGGTCCGGGAAGATCCCACATTCCGCGGAGCAGCTAGGCCCGTGAGCCATGGCCGCTGAGCCTGCGCGTCCGGAGCCTGTGCTCCGCCACGGGAGAGGCCACAGCAGTGAGAGGCTTGCGTACCGCAAAAAAAAAAAAAATGGAACAAGTGAATCAGCAAAATATTTAGGAAGGGAAGCCCACGTCAACCATTCCACCATCAAAAGTCTCTGTATAATCAAGGCTCCTCAGCATGACCATGGAAAAGAAAATGGAAGCCTATAGCTCAAGCATAACTATAAACACTGACTGTGTTATAAATAACATATTATGTAGATAGTAAAAAGAAAAACCCTCAAAACAATATTTAAAACTAATCACTAGGGCAATTCCTCCCTGTTATTATTATCATTGCCAGTTATTCAAAAGCAAATGGCACTGTTGAAAGTGAGGCATGATCTCTTTTCTCTGGAAGAACACACTTTGATAATAGAATACTAATATGCATGGATCTAAGAAACATACCACAAGTATGTTTATACATGCAACTAATATGGAAAAGCCTAACACTGGCACAATCGAAATTAGAAAGAATAGTATGATTTAGGGAAAGTTAATAGACATGCTTAGTATGTGACAAATATTGTCCTGGGCACCTGTTAAGCATTACAATATGTATACTTCAAACTAACCCTGTTGTGTTGGGTTTACTATTATCTCCATTCTTATAAGAGATTTAGGGGAGGAAGAAGTTCTCTTCACAAGGAGCAGGGTCAGGTGTGGAAACAGCTCTGTCGACTCTGTGGTGGACCTTTGTTGATGGGTTACCCAGCATCCATCCCCTCTTCCTATCAGCATCTCTGTTTCCTTTGGGGGATTTACTTCCCACCCATAGTGGGTCGTCTTGGTAGGTCAGAAAATTCAGATAAGCTCTTATTTAATGGAAGCAAAGAGGTTCCAGAAATATCATTTGGCCACATTCTTCCTCTGGGAAGGAGTTGAAGGGAAGGCCTTCTAAGATCTAAGCCTGGTCAGCTGGACTTCCTCTCTTTGATTTTTCTGTTAGCCTCACTTTGCAGCATGCGGAACTTCCCTGACCAGGGCTTGAACCCATGCCCCCTGCAGTGGAAGCACAAAGTCTTAAGCACTGGACCACCAGGGAAGTCCTCTCTCTTCGATTCTGATGCAAAGAGGGAAGAAACTGCCCCTGCCAGGAGGCCCTCCTGATTTCTGTCCCATCTCTAAACCTGCTTCTTCAGACTTCCATCAGCTTGGTGCATCGTGCTCACCAGTAGCCTTCTAATAAATTGAACCAGAGTTAGCATTTGTTGCCTGTAACCAAAGAACCTAACTAATGCCTCAAGGAAAGTGCACTTGTATTTCCTCCAACCCCCAACTCTGTCAAGAAAACACAATTTTATCTTTATTTCAAGTACTAAAATAACTTCACAAATAAAAGATTAGGTAGAAGTTCTTATCATAAGTAGAATAATATGCAAATCAAAACAATGTTGACTTTTATTTTTATTTCAGTTGGTATTTATACATAAATTCAACATAGGGAATTCGTTATCTCTATGTAAACACAGCTCATCTTTTAGGTAGATTAGAATTATATTCTTTTTTAAAAAAATTTATTTATTTTATTTATTTATTTTTGGCTGCATTAGGTCTTCACTGCTGCGCATGGGCTTTCTCTAGTTGCAGCGATTGGTGGCTACTCTTCGTTGTGGTGCTCAAGCTTCTCATTGCGGTGGCTTCTCTTGTTGTGGAGCACAGGCTCTAGGCACGCAGACTTCAGTAGTTGTGGCTCGTGGGCTCAGTAGTTGTGGTGCGCAGGCTTAGTTGCTCCGTGGTATGTGGGATCTTCCCGGACTAGAGCTCGAACCCGTGTCCCCTGCATTGGCAGGCAGATCCTTAACCACTGAGCCACCAGGGAAGCCCCTAGAGTTATATTCTTGCATTGCCATTTGAGCTCTTTTCTAGCAAGACCACTTCCCTTTGTCATATAAAAGTAAACTCCAGCTGATGTGCCCAGATCAGGAGAATTTTGAATTTGTGGGTAATGCACAGTAATTATTCTTATTAACTGGATCCTTACTAAGTGCCATGAACTCCGCTCAACTCTTTACAAAGAGTAATTGTGTGCGGTAAAGGTTATCATTCCCATCTCACACATGAAGAAGCCAAGGTGTAGAGAAATGAAGTTCAAACAGCAACATATGTAAGAAACCACAAAACCAGCCCTTAAACTTGGTCTGCCTGAGGCCAAAGCTTCACATCTTCCTGCTAGGGGAGCCTTCTCCACTGCTCAGTGGAGAGCTCGGGTTCCTCCTCCTCCCCCAAACCCTTCAAGGTGGCCTTCATTGTCACCAAGTCACAGAGGAGGAAACTGAGACTAAGAGAAGTTAAGTGCCTGCCACTGTTCACAGAGAAGAGGGCTTTGTCATTCTAAAGCCATCACTGCCCTGAGCTACCCCACTGGGAGGCTTCATGGTGTATAACTTAAGGAAAAGCAGAGTCACCACATGTTTATAAAATGAGTACAATTCTCCCAGTGCATCGTGTGTTTCCAAGAATGCAAAGCACTTTTACCAACCACCTGGATTCTCTTAAACCAGTAGGACTTTAATAGATAGTTTGAGGAATCCGTGCTGAGTCAGTGGAGCCAGCCTGTTAAAGCATTAGTCCTCATCCAGTGATTTTTGGCAAAACACAGAATCCTGGAGTGGAAAGGGAATTTAGAAGTGACTTAGTCTAATTTATTTTATCTCAATGGGGAATCTGAGGGCTAAATAAGTTCGGAGACCTGCCCTCAGGCCAAGAGTTTCTGTGCGGCAAACTGGAAACTAGGGAGCTGGTCTCTAGATGCCCAGGGGAGTGTTCTTTCCACCATGAGCTATTTCCTCCCCTGGGTACTATTTAAAGGTAAAGTACAAACTAGCTTAAGAGAACGTCAAGAGCCTGATTAGATAGTCAAGTTTCCATTCTTTAAAAACCTTTTCCATGCCAGGGCATTTGCCTACAGAACAGATCCTAGCTAGATGGAACCAGATGCATTTTCGCTAGCCTAATTCGGAGCATGAATGCTTCACGGTGAAATAATGGACTTTTTGCAGACAAGGAGATAGTGTGGTGGTAGGTGCAGAAGAAATGCAGGCTGCCCACTCACACTTCCGCCTCTCAACATTCTCTAAAGCTGCAAGATATACCCCTAGTGCTCAGCGCGCTAAGTGGTCGCCCCCTCTCCTCTCCCTCCCCCTGCTGAATCATCTGAAGGAGACTTCGATTGGCAGCTTGCTCCAGTCTTCCCACACAGTATGTGGGGCTCCCACCTCCAGCCCTAAAATACAGTCGCTCAGCTCTTGTGTTCAATATCTCTTATTTTTCATTGCTGGCTCCCATTGAGATAGTTTTGTCAATTCCGAAAGGTCCGCGTCTTTGTTCCCTTCCTTGTACAACATCTAAACATTGTGACAATCAGAAGCTGAGGATGAAGGGAAAGCAGCAGGACACAGGCCCATACAACAGCCTAAGCATCAAAGTTCAGTCTTCACTTTTGAAAATGTGACTACCATTAAATATGTCAGGTAACATGGAAGGACTCCCTGTTATTTTCTTTTTCCCTAGCATTTTTTTCCAAAGTGGGAGGCCCGTGAAATGCAGTCCGTAACCCACTGCAGGATGGAGGGGAACTTGGACTGGCCAGGTACAGGCTGCGTGTGCTCTTTAGACCTGGGACACGCACACAGCAGCTGGATGGGGAACTCCCTGGATGAGAGCCAGCTGATGCTGTCGGTAACACTGATCCTTGGGAGTGCCCGTCCTTGTGTTCTCCTGCCCTTTCTTCCCTACCCATTTGGGAATTAAGATACAGTCTTTGGCTATTCTGACTCTTCCTTCCTTCCTTTTCTCAACCGTCACATAGGAGATAACGACAATCAGATGGCACTGGCTCACCACTTATGCAGAATTGCCTCTGGCTGTATGCCTAGACCAAGAGAACCTTAGAACTGGAATTTGGGGATGATGGCTTTTGTTCTGTGCTGCCCAATAGCACTCACTAGAGACTAGAGACAGATGGTTTACAACTTAGCACTGCAAGCAGAAGTTGCCTGGTTTTGCATTTTGGCCATTGAATATCAGGGCCTGGGTTGAGCCAAGAATTCTGAGCTGGCCGTTGGGGCTGATTTGGTTCTCAGAAGTCTCCTAATATCTGTGGAGCTATGGACTCAACTTCAAAGACTAAGTCCTGGAAAAGTGGCCCCCCAATTCCCAAGTTCTGCAGTGGGAGCGGGGGAAATGCTCATCACCCCAATCTTCGATGCAATGTTAATTAATTGTTTTGCATCCAGATGTTTTCGTTCTCAACGCCAGAGGTGAAGAGTCTGAGCCATCGTGTTACAGATGTTAAGGAATTGTCCAAGTTCACATAGCAAGTGAGTAGCAGAGCGGGAGATTATTGCCATATCCAAGTTCTACTCACTATACCACTTTCATTCCACTCCTTTCAAAAACTAAATATCCATTAGCCAACTCTGTTCCCAGCATGAAAACACTGATCTTTTCATGTGATCAGATCTTATGTCCCCAGTTAGATTATTGGCCCTCTGGTAGGTAGTGAGTCTAATATTTTGTTCTTATTCTTGCAAACAATAAATTCTCCAGGAGTCATTGCTGATTGATATTAGCAGTAAAGTGGTTTCAAAGATATGTTTTCAGCCCTGGCCACCTTGTAACTTTTTTCTTTATTTTTTCTACTTAAAAAATGACTAAGGCAGTACCTGCTCATGGTAAAAAGATACAGTATATAAAATAATCACCTCCCCATCTCAACTCCATTCCATTTATCTGAAATAATCAATATTGTTAGGTAGGTAGCTTTTCCCATCTATTTCCATGCACATATAAACACATGCAAACATATGGACAGACATACCGTTTTCCTCTTCCTTATTTTTAAAGCAAAATAGCTTTGTTATCCTATATA